GGGAGAGAGAGTTGTCATGCTGTTTGACGAGTTTCCTGGAGAGGCATTGTGTCCCAGGGAGAGAGAGTTGTCATGCTGTTTGACGAGTCTCCTGGCGAGGCATTGTGTCCCAGGGAGAGAGTTGTCATGCTGTTTGACGAGTCTCCTGGCCAGGCATTGTGTCCCAGGGAGAGAGTTGTCATGCTGTTTGACGAGTTTCCTGGCGAGGCATTGTGTCCCAGGAGGAGAGACTTGTCATTCTGTTTGACGAGTCTCCTGGCCAGGCATTGTGTCCCAGGGAGAGAGTTGTCATGCTGTTTGACGAGTCTCCTGGCGAGACATTGTGTCCCAGGGAGAGAGTTGTCATGCTGTTTGACGAGTTTCCTGGCGAGGCATTGTGTCCCAGGAGGAGAGACTTGTCATGCTGTTTGACGAGTCTCCTGGCCAGGCATTGTGTCCCAGGGAGAGAGTTGTCATGCTGTTTGACGAGTCTCCTGGCCAGACATTGTGTCCCAGGGAGAGAGTTGTCATGCTGTTTGACGAGTTTCCTGGCGAGACATTGTGTCCCAGAGAGGAGAGAGTTGTCATTCTGTTTGACGAGTTTTCCGGCGAGGCATTGTGTCCCAAGAGGAGAGAGTTGTCATGCTGTTTGACGACTTTCCTGGCGAGGCATTGTGTCCCAGTGGAGTAAATAGTTGCTCAGATACTAGTAGCTACGGTGGCATCTCACAATATTCACTCTTATTTTGTAATGTTATGTTCATTCTTGGAGTCACTGTAACAGTGTGAACCGCTAGCGAGGGAAGGCAGTGGGGTTAAAGCATTTGCTCGTCACGCCGAAGACCCGGGTTCGATTCCCCACATGGGTACAATATATGAAGCCCATTTCTGGTGTCCCCGCCGTGATATTGCTGGAATATTTCTAAAAGCGGCGTAAAATTAAACTCACTCACTCACTCTAACGACGGAAACCTGAAGCACCGTAGAATGGAAAATGTAGAGATGATATGCATCCTCAGTTTTCCAAGAGAGACACACCTGGTGCAACCACAAAACTTATTAATTAATCTACAGGTGTGTCACGTGTCACAGGAACAACAACTAAGATGACAGCTGGTGCCTATCGTCTCGTGCCGTACAAGCTGTTCCATATTTTTTCAGTATAGCATTCCCTATCTCTAGGTTTACTTTGGTGCTAAAATTCAATTAGATTGTAGAATCAATAAGCTCAGGAGTTTCCGTTGTAATCTGGATAGTAAATAACAAAATAACATACATGTATAGGAAAACTATACCTGATGCATTGGTGAGAACCATATAGTAATCATATCACATGACGCAGTGTGCAGACACGTGTATGGATCATGTTAAAACTGTCATTTGGATAACGATAACCGCATTTATACGGTAAAATAATGCATCGTAAAAATGGAGGAGGAGGAGGTAAGGAGAAACCCGTGCAGCCCTCCCCCCCCACCCCCTTTCTGGATCCGCCTTTGGAGCTTGTTCTCCGTAAAAATCCAGGTTAGAAGTCAGTCTAAGTAAACTTTGGCTCAGTATTATTCGTTACACTGCTATACTGAGTATAAGGAGTAAACTTGGGCTCAGTATTATTCGTTACACTGCTATACTGAGTATAAGGCGTAAACTTAGGCTCAGGATTATTCGTTACACTGCTATACTGAGTATAAGGCGTAAACTTAGGCTCAGGATTATTCGTTACACTGCTATACTGAATATAAGGAGTAAACTTAGGCTCAGGATTATTCGTTACACTGCTATACTGAATATAAGGAGTAAACTTTGGCTCAGGATTATTCGTTACACTGCTATACTGAATATAAGGAGTAAACTTAGGCTCAGGATTATTCGTTACACTGCTATACTGAGTGTAAGGAGTAAACTTTGGCTCAGTATTATTCGTTACACTGCTATACTGAGTGTAAGGAGTAAACTTAGGCTCAGGATTATTCGTTACACTGCTATACTGAGTATAAGGAGTAAACTTAGGCTCAGGATTATTCGTTACACTGCTATACTGAGTGTAAGGAGTAAACTTTGGCTCAGTATTATTCGTTACACTGCTATACTGAGTGTAAGGAGTAAACTTTGGCTCAGTATTATTCGTTACACTGCTATACTGAGTGTAAGGAGTAAACTCTGGCTCAGGATTATTCGTTACACTGCTATACTGAGTGTAAGGAGTAAACTCTGGCTCAGTATTATTCGTTACACTGCTATACTGAGTGTAAGGAGTAAACTTTGGCTCAGTATTATTCGTTACACTGCTATACTGAGTGTAAGGAGTAAACTTTGGCTCAGGATTATTCGTTACACTGCTATACTGAATATAAGGAGTAAACTCTGGCTCAGTATTATTCGTTACACTGCTATACTGAGTGTAAGGAATAAACGTTGGCTCAGTATTATTCGTTACACTGCTATACTGAGTGTAAGGAGTAAACTCTGGCTCAGTATTATTCGTTACACTGCTATACTGAGTGTAAGGAGTAAACTTTGGCTCAGTATTATTCGTTACACTGCTATACTGAGTATAAGGAGTAAACTTGGGCTCAGTATTATTCGTTACACTGCTATACTGAGTATAAGCAGTGTAACGAGCAATACTGAGCCTAAGTTTACTTAGATTGGGTTAGAAGTGGTCTTCACCACCTTTTATATGGGGCAATTAAGGGGATCGGGTGGTCATTCTCGCTGACTTGATTGATGCACGTCTTGTAAACCATGCAGCAGCATAGACCGATACTCATGATACAAGTACTACACAATTGGTTCAAACTGACCTTTTTTTTCTATTGATTTTATTATATACACTTACATAATGAATGTACCTATTTATGAAGTACTTCAATCTATCAGTCTGTGTAAGTATAGCTATACAGACGCAAAGTCTCAGTTTTGCAAAGGAGCTGATAATAACTCCCTCTTTAAAAAGAACACGTTCGACATACATAGTGCAAGAAACCACCTTTTATTGAAAAACTTCATGTCATACTACTTGCCATGGTAACCATTTTAAAATAAATAGCATTTTTATGCTATGGGACCGCACTACCTGTACTTACTATAAATTCTTTTATCATTTTTTATGAATTAATTAATTTCTTATTTACTGATTTCTGTTCAAATGCAGTAAGTGTCTGTACCTAACATCCCGGAACAAAGACTGTACATGTCCGAATCAAGTACCTAGAAGGGAGACAACTCGTGCGGTACAAACATCCTAAGCCATATAAACCAGCCTTGCAGTCGTCCAGAGGCTCTAAAAGATACATAAAATACTTGGAACTGAATTTGCTTTGAAATATTATGTTTCCACCTACGGACCTGAATGTATGGGTTAATCATCCGTAGGCCTTCAATATATAGTTGGTTTAAGATATTTAATGCAATTCCAGCAATCGACTTCAGTCCCATGAATAAAATTCAATGAATAAGAGACAAATACAACCGATAACTGTGCCTTGATTTATAAGATGCTATGACTGGAAATATCGTCCGCAACATGAGGATATCAAAGACAATAGTCGTTTTGGGGTCTACAGTTTAGATACAGACAGCTACATAGACTGACGTGTGAGTCAAATATTTAAAATATTATCTTAATGTAAACATTAAACACTCAGCATAATTTAAAGGTTATTGTTTATTTATATCACAACAAAATCTTAAATAATGTATTCAAGACCTAACGACACAACAAAATTTGATATTTGCAAAACACGACTCAGAAATCAGAACTGGCTTTTCGGATGTGTCCCCATTGGAACAGAGATGATTCAGCTTGACAGCGGGACATCTACATTCCGCTGGAGTTTTTCACTAACTAAACCGAACAAATAATGACTTTCGACTACAGGCATCACTTTGTACTGACTACCGACTTTTTCCTGGTAGATGTGCTCCAAAGAGTGTGTGAGCTAAAGTATGGAAACTTACGTGAGACATCTACATTCAGTTGGGAGGGTTCCAATTGTAATGATGAGACAAGACCGGAGACTTAACTCAGACAGACGGTCAGATGGAGTTAAGCTAACAGAGGCAGGAGCCAAAACATTTATCTGTATTCACGTTTATTCATGTGTATTTCTCCACTTTTATTATACCACACGGTGGTATATAGCTATTTTAATTCATAGTGAACTTCACCAATGACTTCAAAGTCATCAATATCATATTATGTAATTCTGTAGATAGAGTAACTAAACATTTCAATGACAACCGTATCGCCATTTTAGTCAGCTGTTTGACGACTTTCCTGGCGAGGCATTGTGTCCCAGTGGAGTAAACATTTCAATGACAACCTTATCGCCATTTCAGTCAGTTAATAGGATCGAGATAGAACGATTAAATGTGGTAATAACAACCTCACCGTGTTTTTTATCAGAAAATAGGATAATCTGAAGTAGATGCAATATGTATAAATACGGACGACAATCGGTCACAAATCACTCAATGGCTGACTAATAAACTCCTCGTATATTTACCCAGGTCCTGTGTTGTGTGGGTTGGAAGTGTACAGTGGTACCTCTGCCATGCAAACTGATTCCCCAACTCGCAGTTTACTAGCATTAGGAGTGAGTGGGTGAGTATGGTTTTACGCCACTTTTATAGCAATATTCCAGCAATATCACGGCGGAGGGACATCAGAATTGGGCTTCACACAATGTACCCATGTGCGGACTCGAACCCAGGTCTTCGGCGTGACGAGCGAACGCTTTAACCACTAGGCTACCCCACAGCCCCACTAGCATTAGGAACCCATGTCTGTCGCCAGAGGCGACTAACGGCATCCCCTGGCCAGGTTTCGCTGCCTTGGTTAATACATAAATTATATTAATATACCAAACGAGTGAGGTCAATGAATTATCTGGTCCAGACACGATTATTTACAGACCGTGAGTGCGGCGTTAAACAAACAAAGCCGCCACTGTTTGCTTCCAATTGACTGGAATCCTTGGCCTTTCAATCAAACAAGAAACTTACAGTCTAACAAGTGCTTATGAAAACAAATATTTTATTTTCAAACGGGTTGTATAACACTCATCCACGCCCTAAAAAATCCGTTAATGCAACAAAATCAAACCAAACAATGAGAAGTATAATATGCAAAGTAAAATGATAATTGCCGTTTCCAGATCAAGAGGAATACAAGCCATGTTCAGTCTATTTAAACAAAATCTATAAATAAATGAATTCATATGGGCAATGCCATCATATCCGTCAGGGAATGAGAACATCATAAACAGCAATGGCGGGTAAATAAATGTCGAATAAATTAGTATATCTGAAGCAAATGAATAAATAAATTTATATATTATATCAATATATCGTTATTCAATAATAGATTGATTCCAATAGCGTTTTTCAGGTAAAGTTAAATATAATATGTCTGATTGTCAACTGTGAATAGTTCTCACTCTGACTCCAACCATACTACTTAATAGGTTTAAGATCATCCGATTCCTTCATACTGTTCGAGTGTACCTTCCATCTCACAATAAACAAATGTTGTATGAAACAATCTGGCGACCATCAACTATTTTCAGTAGCATATATGTAGTTATGTTTGTTACATACTAGCACATGCCGTGATAATGTAAATTTCAATGCATGCAGTGTTGCTATGCAGGTTTCTTGACAATACTAATTACTTATTCAGTGTTACACTAGTAATACATCCCATCAATGGTCATCATGTAATTCACACATATGCAATATCGTTTGTCTGTACATTGCATTAATATTCAATCATTTCAAAACCTACACCACACGTACTGTTCATGGAATCCTGTTTTCGGTGAGTTCCCGTTTGGGATAGTCTTTGGGAATACATTATCTATAGGTGGTCCACTGAGGTTTATTGTCGGCTTGTCACACGGGAGATAACTCATGTTGACAAGGGAGACGACTCTATCTGATATTGATGTACGCAATTTGATTACCGAAAGGAAATTTATCCCTCCTGAACGAGTAGAACTCATTTGGGTTGTCATACGTGCATCTGTGGGCACTTGTGTCAATGTTCTCCTGCCTTATTCCAACTCTCTGTAGGAGTATCTTGTTGGCTAACAGCAAGTCAACGTAAACTTTCGGATCACCTTCTTTGTGTAGCACAAGGGACGGGTCAATGTCCGCAAAACCTTTTGCGTCTTCAGGAGAGAATTGCAGATTGTTTGCTGAAAGACATGGACCCATAGCCACGACAATGTTGCCGATGTCACACCCGAAATCTCGTTCCATGGCTTGGACGGTAGCGATAGTGATGCCTTTCAGCGTCCCCCTCCAGCCTGCGTGGGTAGCACCACAGACGCGTCGCACTGGGTCCGCAAACAAAATGGTGACACAGTCTGCCCCTGGAGCTGCTATGGTTATCCCTGCTGAGCGAGTCACGATGGCGTCAAATCCCGCTGGAACATCCTGACCAATACTCCATACTCTGTTGCCATGCTCCACCTTGGGAAACTGCATGTTCTTGCTGTTGAATCCAGCAGCGTCACCCAGGCGACGTCGGTTCTCGTTGATTACCAGCATGGAGTCCCGTTTGCGAGTGGCAAAGGCGAGATTGAGCGACCGGAGGGCGGGTGAGGAGGAGATCCCGCCATTTCTGGTAGTGAAACCGTGGTTGAAAATGGCGTCCGGGATGAGGGGGGACTTCAAAATCTGGATGTCTCCAATGGAAGGTAAAGCTTGAAGAAAAGCCTCCACTTCACATTCCAGACCATAGGATGCAGTCAGTTCCATCTTTCCCGATCCGACCACCGCGAAAAACATCTGATATGCCTTGGTGAAGAACATTTCGCCCAGCTGCTTCCAGAAACCGCTCTGTTCACAAGCGCAGACCATTGCCATTCGGCTCAGAGTATTGGAATCCAGGAACTCTTTTCCTTCATAAAATGCCTGGATCTTGTTATCAGTGATGATCTTATGATAGGTGATACCGTTTCCATCCTTGATGTTTGTTTTCTGAGAAATCTTGTTGAGCTCGTTGGCAGAGGGAGCTAACAGCATTACATGGTGTTGCTGGACCTTGGTGTTTCTTGTGATGACCTCTGTCAGGCGCTCGATGATGCGCTCCTTAGGGTGGTCTTTGTGGTAGAGGTCCGCGAAATAGACCATGGGCTTATTCCCAGGACTCTCCTCCTCCTGGCTCAACATTCTACAAAAAATAAAACACAATAATTATATAATGTTATACAACGAAACCCAAAGGCTTGAAGAAATCAAAGTCACACAGAAAAGTACTTTCACCCACGGCTTAAAACAACCTAGTGACGCCAAAGTTACAGTTATGAAGGCCTTGATTTGGGGTTAATCAATGCCTTGTATGAACGCTCCATGATCACCTATAACTCACATATCTATGAACACTACAAACCGTTTCATAAAATTTCACAGGGTGAAATTTTTTTAAAAACCTACAAAGCAGACACTTATATAAAATGCAACGCCAGTTGGTGGTCTGGAAGTACAAGAAGCATCCTACACAAGCAGATGTTTGTCTCGCCTTACATGTTCATCGCATCGAGTGACCTGCTAAGTTGATGTATTCATGAGTTGTGCAGCCAGAATGACCAGACTGATGGCGGGCCAGGCACACGCGAGGCTCACACGATCAGTCACTGGATTGTCTGGTCCTGTTATTTACAGGCCGCAGCCATATATCTGGAATATTTCTGAGTGCGGAAGTAAACCAGTCTAAGTAAACTTAGGCTCAGTATTATTCGTTACACTGCTATACTGAGTCTAACAAAACCTTGTGGGAGGTCGCGTCAGGTAACCTTTTCAATTGACCAATCCGAACACAGCTGACCAAATCGCGAAAGTTGACATTCGCACATACCTTTTGAACTTTATCTCGAAAAAGTTTTGTACCCAAACTATTCCGAATGCTATTTTCCGTGCAATCGCTTCCGAATGATGCACATGGAGCACGCCACAACTGTGAGTAAACAGTCGCTGAAAATAGCGTTTTGTCAGTATTCAAGGATGTCAGCTTGCAGAAATATTAGCTAATGATAACCATGTCAACAGAAACCCAAAAGCGTATATTCTGCAGGTCATATATCTGTGTTTTATGCGGGTTTTCATTTGTTGTGAGATTAGTGTTGGCAACCGGGGAAGAGTAAATCCATTTTGTAAGTCCCGCCGAACCCTAAATAGTAGCCGTGGTTAAATCCGTTCTGTCTTCTCGTGTTTGATTGGACGGTCATAGCCTCATAGGTCGCTCAAAGGTTACCTGACGCGACCTTTCACAAGGTTTTGTTAGACTCAGTATAGCAGTGTAACGAATAATACTGTTCCTAAGTTTACTTAGACTTGAAGTAAACAACAATCCATTGAATCAAAATGATTTAGTTAAGTCCTTACTTAAACAGTGGTACCCTTTACTCAAATGGAAGTATGGGGGTTAACCCCTCTTCCTCACAAAAAAACTCCGCTACCATTGTAGAGGATTCGGGTGCAAGACACGTAAAATTTCTCTTAAGACAAATGTCACTCCACACTCGAAGTGTAGTTAACCTGAAGCTCTTCCCTTGGGTGTAAGAAGGTGACCATCCCGTGAAGATCCCTTGGGTCTACTAAGATGACCATCCCATGAAGATCCCTTGGGTCTACTAAGATGACTAAACCGTGAAGATCCCTTGGGTCTACTAAGATGACCATCCCGTGAAGATCCCTTGGGTCTACTAAGATGACCATCCTATGAAGATCCCTTGGATCTACTAAGATGACCAAACCGTGAAGATCCCTTGGGTCTACCTAGACGACAACCCCAAGATGACCAACATCATACAAAGACTCAAACCAATATGACCTGTGTTATCTAATTTCTAAAAGCGTTGTAAAATCCACACATATTTCGAAATGTAGTTGAGCAGACTCGGGAAAGGGAGGTGACTCGGAAACAACTAATTTTTAACTCCGATAGTCGGCAACCGTCTTTCCTGGTGAATTCCGGGACAAGTCAAAACGCAGGTTACGGAAAGGGGCGAATGATGACGAATGGTCAAATAGCAGGTTACGAAAAGCTGCGAATGATGACGAATGATCAAATAGCAAGTTACGGAAAGCTGCGAATGATGACGAATGCCACAGCTTCTGTTTGAACTGAGTGGCTTGAGTTCTCTAATATAATATTTCTCCCGACATCGAACATTGACAAAAGAAACTAAATTAATAAAACTTGTTTCCAAAATCAAACAACACGATCTACAGAGATCTAAATTACTTCAATTACTAATGCTAAGTGATCTAAACTATACTATTTCAGAAAATAAGTTACACGATTAGTAAAAGGAAAAACATGTTTTCTATTATCATTCATTCTATTTTGGTTGGTTGATTTTAAGGGGGTGTCACCCATTTTGTTCTGGGGAGATGGGGGGTCATAAATTTTGTACACATGCACTGGGGGAGGTGTCAGCAACTTTGTACATTAAAGTATTATGCCTAAAAATTATGGGAGGGGGGTCGGGGGCCCATTGAGTTTGTACATGACATGCGGGGAGGGCACTTACTTTCTTAATTTGTACATCCATTTTAGGGAGGGGGTGGCATTCACATTGTACATGCTTCTCCATAAAAGTCATCATCACCCCCTACCCACCCCACCCCTTCTGTTAAAGTAGTAAACCGACACTGTTACGAAGGAACAAGGAAACACTGGTATCTGACATTACATACAACGATTGTTCTCGATGACGGAAGGTCAATATGAGTGACACAGCAGATAACCTAGCGTGTTTCCCAGCCTAAAATGCCATGGTTGATGGTTGTCATTGTACTTAGTCATTACCATTTCTTTCCGAAGCCTTCAGCGTATTTGACTTATTTTCAAAACGTACATGGTCTGGCTACCGCTACACTCATATACTTTTCTTACAAATTTATTTCTTCACCGATCTCGTCCAAATTTGAAATATAGGTTCATGATAACATATGAAAACGATATACGATTTCAAAAGTCTAGATGTTTATTTTTAAAAATTATTGTCCAAACAGTGATTCGAACCCCTGTGGTTGATCCCACCTTGAGAGGGAGATATGAAATCCTGTTATATATAGTACCTACACAATACGGCCTTCCGACTGGTCAACATAACGGCTTGTCATGGGTCAAACTAAGTGAGTTACAAAATACGCAGTTTTCAGTCTCAGTATTTCAATATGAAAACGTCATTTTATGAAGAAAAACCAAGTGTGTTTCGATAAACATTTATACAGGATTCGATTTCTTAAAACAAACACCTCGAAAGAGTCATTTACTTATTTTTCGGGTGTATATTTAAGTTATCGGTTTCTAAATATAACGATAACGATCCCTGTCAATGAAATGCTTAAATTATTTTACGTGATTAAAAATATAACACTGTAGTCATATTTATTACTCACGCGCCCACGTTATTTTCAAGCAATATTTCCATTTTCCATATCCTTATGGCCTTTCCCGGTAAAATTTGGATATTCCTCGTTCAAACGTATCAGGCTAGCCCTGAGTGCAGTGTGCGAAACAGTTCCCAAATTTTGCTAGCCAGTCAGGCTAGCTAAGCCTGAAAGTTACTTGCCCACAAAATGATTCACTTGCCCGAAATTTGAATGAAGACACGGGTTCCAACATTAAGCTGCTAATATGATGAATATTGTTATCAGGCCGTAATCTTGCATGATTTAAAAGTGTATTATAACTTAACAAGTCGGAGAGAGTGATATATTTACACAATGACCCCATGAAAATTCCCTGACCAGCCGGGCAAGTGACTGTGGACTTTTACTAGCCACTGGCTAGCCTGAATGATTAATGTGCGAAATTCTCATCTTTCGGATTAACGTTTACGCGTTATCGTTTTAACAACTACGCACCCCATCGCAGGTATGTAGCCGTAAAGGTAGGGTGTGTTTGTATTAGGTTTGTATTTGCTCTTAAAGATTATGTACATATACTACCCATCAAAAGTTTAGACTCACTGGTGTAAATGTAGCCACTTACTTCAGTCACCTGTTCTAAACTAGACTTCGCAAAATATTCAATTCTGTTTAAAGATACTGTTTACACATCAACTGATGTATTGTAAAACAAATTCGTAACTTTGAAAAATATTATTGTCATGAGTTCAATAAATGATGAAACTCGGTGAACATTGGCGAATTCTTAAGAAAACTTTAAATAAAAACGCATCTGATTCACATACAGGATATTTGCACATGCTTTTCAGCAATTTGATGCATAATCTTCGTGCAATTCATCTGCATAAGGTTTGCAGTTGGTTCCCCCAAGTTAGTGGAGAAATTCATCTTCGATGTAACCATATACATACATAGCATATAGTGAGTGCTTTAATTGAGTCTGAACTTTTGAAGGGTAGTATATAAACATAATAATATGGGCGGTTCTATATATCTTTAGGATAACATTTTGTTCTTGATACCGAATCATTTACTTTATTCAAACTTCCTCGAGAATTGAGATCGGGTCTTTGAGTGCTGTATGGGGAAGAAGCATTACTTGGATCGACATGTTTGCGGCAATAAATACGAATATATTCCTGCTACCAGAGTTTTGAGACAAGGATACTTGTAACTGCGCACGTCCAGTGGATATCGTAGGTTTCGGGGTCTGTTTCCGGTGGTCATTTCTCCTGATATCACACGCCTATGTGGTTTTTCTTGACAAACTTGATGTTTGTTGATGTGTAATGCCGCACTCAGCAATATTCCAGCTATATGGCGGAGGTCAGTAAATGTTCGAGTCGGGACGAGAAAACCCAGTGATCAACATCATGAGCATCGATCTACGCATTAGGGATACGATGACATGTGTCAACTAAGTCAGCGAGCCTGACCACCCGATCTCGTTAGTCGCATCTTACGACAAGGATGGGTTGCTGGAGATCAATTCTAACCCGAATCTTCACGGGTCTGATACGAAGTATTGAGTTATTTAAACATAAACATCAACAAGCTGCGTGGAATTATGTCCTAAAAATATATTTATTAAATACTTGACGTTTTGTACGTCTCCGACCTTGCACTATGAATGGAACCTACTTTACTCAAACACGGTGTATAAACACACCCGAAACATCATCAAAAATAACTGTCATGGCTCTCCACACTCAGTACCGTCTTACTCATAACAGTAGCATAGAAAGTGCTGAGTCAGCGAGTAGAGCATTCAGTTGCCCTTGGTTATACCAGGGAGACTCTATAAGTTGTAGAGTATCCCTGGTTATACCACAAAAGGAAATTAATTACCGGACTTGATAAAATCAGCTGATAAAACAAACATGGTACAAACAAAGTGTCATTACACATTACATATCATTCTCTTCCCACAGAGCTTACTCCTGTCATATCTTCCTACGTTACGTAGGAAGATATGACAGGAGTAACCTCTGTGGGAAGAGAATGATTACATATATAATAAAAGACTTCTTTAACTCAAATTTATTTAACCCGATATCAGTAAATCGTATGTCCAGGCGGAACCCGTATAGTAGGGCTGGGACGGGTCAAACTTTTCTACCCGGATACCCCACCCCCTATTATCCTACCCGGATACCCGTTATGTTAATTCTAACATCAAATTTGTAAGAAATGGCAATATATTCTTCAGCTCGGATGCTAAAATTACGAGTTTTTCAATATTTTAACCATGTATACTCATGCCAATTTTTTAATTGGAGAGGGGGTTTGGGGTGGAGGTATGTGGGGATTGGGGTTGGGGAGGGGGGTGACAACCATTATTGGCATGAGTATATTATATTAAAAAAAGTGACTAATTATGTCCAAATATTCAAAGACAATACAACATTTTAATCATAAAGGAATAACATATTACATTATTTAATCTATTAGTCACATGGTCATAACAGGTCCGGGTATCGAGACGGGTACCCGGGTCCAACTCATTACCCACTCGTCCCAGGTATCCGTGTTACCCGTCCCAGCCCTACCGTATAGAGGCACTGTAATTCAACATTGGCACACAGTCTTTCTCGAACAACGGATAACTCGATGTACATTCTAACTCCACTAATACAGTACTTTCATACTACTCTACCATGCTAGAATTAACTATTGTTATATGAAAGATCAGGTGGGAGATTCCTAACCTGTTTTAAGTTGACTATTTTAATGGAAACATGTCACATAAGTAATTCAGATCCTATTGTAAATGTCAATGGTGTCCTACATATTCAGTGGATGCTTAAAGGTGAGTAACGTGCTCGTCAGCTGACACCCCGTGGAGGGAAGTACTAGCGACGTAGTCAGCTGGCTACGCAATGAGAAGCTTTTCATATTCACTTGTGTGGTGTCTGTCCTGGGCTGTTCACTGACCTAATCGGCAGCCTCGAGGAAATGCGTCACGTCTATGTGGGCAGTCATTCGTGTGTGGGCCCATGGGACCAGGTGGGGTGGATAGCGGCTGACACAGTGGACATGATAAGAGGAGAACTCCGGTTATCAATGCCAACATATTTGCTTGTCGGCTGTTTCAACACACAGTTTCTCATTTCGTTCCCAAGCGACGAGAACCCGGAAGTTGTCAGTTCGATCGCTGTCAACACAGAGACAGTTTCTAAAGCAAACGTGCAGCATACACAAGACTCATGGTTGCCGAGTAAGTATATATTTACCTAGCCAGCTCGCTTTCGTAATCTTCTTTTTCTTCATCAGACATACTGATCAACAAGGGTGGAACGCTTCGAAGATGGCGACAAATGAATAAAGGGGAATCCCCTAAGTGCATCACGTGACACGAATTGTCCAGCGCATGACAAACTATGTACAGTCTGTACAAAGGTTTCAAGCCTTCACCTACGCTTTAAATGCGACTGTATCAGGAAGGGCCTTGGTTCAAATACTTTTAACGTGAGTAAGTGATTGATTAAGGTTTTACGCCGCTTTTAGAAATATTCCAGCATTATCGCGGCGAGGGTCACAAAATAGTGGCTTCACACATTGTATCCGTGTGGACAATCGGCCCCGGTTCTTCAGCGTGGCTAGCGAACGCTTTAACTGCTAGGCTACCCCGTCGTGTGGGTGTAAATGACGGGTGTGTTAGGATTCGGTTTGTATTTATTTTTATAAATTTATATCCTTAAAAACATGATATGATACGGTGAAAAAACTTACATGTCATACATGTCTCAAGTACAGCCCTGAGAATTGTAATAAACAATGGTATTTTGAAGATACCTACGTAGATACCAAAATATTCTTGACATAAACCACTCATTTTTACTTCATGTTGTCTGGCCTCCCTTTTTTGTCAGGATTTACTTGAAAATCAGTTAGATTTGTCATGTAAACATACTGCTAAGTAGCCTACCCGAGACATAAAGAGACAGACCGCCTCCGTGGTGTAGCTATAAAATACAATAAACATTGTTTTATTACCAAAGTAGAAACATTGATCGCTGGATGGGAAATAGGGGAAAGGATGGCCTATTCTTACGAGAGGCGTTCAAAACGTAGTCAGCTTCACCTAGAAAATGATACACCTGTTTTTATGTTTTATTTTTCTACATAGTTTCAAAATATGCAATAAACATTTTGCGCGTTTGAGATAGGCAGAAGTCCGCTAGAATCAAACTTAGATACTTAAGTAAATGAAAAAGCAATATGAAACTACAATCGCTGGTTAAAGTGACACCCTCTTCATGTATACTGAAAGAGCTTGTTTTGGAGACCCCACCCATCACGATTCAGATGACGTAATCATAAAGACAGAGGTACAAATACGCTGCGTATCTGCGTAAATTACGCAAATATTTATGTGAAAACTCAATTCCTTTTAAGTCAATTGCCTACATGTACGCTTGAATTTTTGTAAATACCCAATGAATTTGATCTTATATGAGTACACACAAAAATGTGAAATCTTAGTTTGCTTACCGATGGATAGATAAAATAACTGAGGTACATTGAGAGGTTCTTTTTTAACACATGACCTTGGCAACTCTGAGTCTTTCTTATCGTTTCTCATATTACAGATGAAATATAAACAACAAATACGTAAACCAACATTTAAACTTTATTATATTTTTACAATTATTGGAAAATGGCAAAATACCCACCTGAGTTTGAGTGAAGTGGGTACAATTTATTAGGTTACTCAAAGGAAAATTAGGATGCCCAATTGAGATGAACACAAGCGAGTACATAACTCAATCACCCCAAAGGTTATCTGTAGCTTTGTAACAATATAACTTACTCTAATGTATTCATGCTTCACTGCGGCATGGTATCTCAGTGGGCTAGCACTATAAAACCAGCTTAAGTCTGGGCTAGTACAAGCAGCCGCACATACACATACACACGCATGCACGTCGTCATATGAGCGAAATATTCTCAAGCACGACGTAAAACCCAATTTCACCTCACCTCACTTACTCTAATGTTTTCATTTATTCATATATGGTGCCAAGGGTTCAAACTAAATACTGAATGGTCACACAAGCGTCAGCTCTCAATATATTGTGAACAGGGCCAGGTTGAATATCTGGACACAATGTTTTTGAAAGATTAAAAGAGTGCCCTTAAAAAACAGACCCCGTCTAAATATATATCAAGCAATCCAAATCTTTGAATGTTGAGTACGACGGGAAGTCATCCAATACTATACTGAACGTATTTTATATGATATTATCTGAGGGCATACCATTATCCAATGCAAGAGGTACCAAATGACAGATCATTTTTCATTTTCTGCAATGTTTTAAGAAATATTATACCCCAAAGCGTTAGCCACATTACCCACATATGTGAAATGTGGGAATTGGCTTTGCTATGATGGCTCATTCGGGCCATCGCTTTATCATTCAACATAAACTACCTTTTTATTGTGATATGACGAAGTTTTGTTAAATGGATTTTATTTGAGGCTTGTTTTCAGTTCGACAATTTGAGATTATTTCATTTAGTTGTGTAAATACAGAAATTACCTGATGACCATGAACGATCATCTACATAAAAGTTATGTAGTATCCTCTACGTAGACGTTACGTAGTATCATCTATGTAGAAGTTCGGTAGTATCATCTCCGTATGCGTAACGTATCATATACGTAGAAGTTAAGTAGTCTCATCTACGTAGAAGTTAGGTAGTATCATCTCCGTATGCGTATCGTATCATCTACGTAGAAGTTAAGTGGTATGATCTACGTAGAAGTTAAGTGATATCTAAGTAAACTTAGGCTCAGTATTATTCGTTAGCAGTGTAAGGAATAATACCGATCCTAAGTTTACTTAGACTGGTGATATCATCTACGTAGCATTTAAGCAGTATCATCTAAGTAGATGCTCGAATCCTCTACGTAGAAGGAAGTATCATCTACGTAAATGAAAGTATATTCTAAGTGGATGATGAAATTGTTTTAGTTTATGGCATTAAAACGCTTCCACTGTTATGTTCGGGACGATGAACCAGTAGTTCCGCATCCCCTGATATAACTCCGAGTAGGAAGTCCGGTAGGTACGGTCTCCTCATGCCTGTGCTCCCTGCTACTGTTCCAACAGGAAGGGCTACTTGGTCATCTATGCTGATACAGCGACTGACGTGTGCTATACAACCTCAGCCGAATGTCTGGGCGTATGTAGGGATGTTAGCTTCATCATCACAATTGTGATCATCATAATAATCATCATCGTTGTCGTCGTCGTCGTCGTCATGATGATCATCATCATTTGTACTGGCGCTGGTCAGTCTAAGTAATCCGCCGCCATATAGCAGGAATATTGTTGAGTGCGGCGTAAAACTAAACTCACTCACTCACTCACTCCAAGTAAGCCAAGCTCAGTATTATTCGTTACACTGTTTATACTCAGTATAGCAGTGTAACGAATAATGCTGAGCCTAAGTTTACTTAGACTGTGGCGCTGGTGGTAGTAGTAGCTGTATTACAATTTTACAAAGAGTACACAAATCGTGTGTACAGAGTTATGTCCCTCTACTGCAAGGATCCGCTTCTTGTGGGTTCGGATCCATGACTCTACCTTAGTTTCAACTACACCCTTTCCCACCGCAAACTGCTTTGTTAAGGGCTTGCTTCACACAGAAATATATACCTGATTAACTTTTCAAACTCTTTGTCATGTATGAAGTGCCTGTACAAATGACAAATGTTGCAGTAGACCTATTCTAAATGGGCTGCTTGCAGAGATGTCAGGACGGTCAACAGTCTTGTCACGCTACAATTCTTCGTCTTACACCGTCACGAACTGATCACGTGACCCTGTCTATAGTCGTGTCACGGTTCAGTCACACCCACATGCGTCATTCCATTGTGAATAAGTATAATGTTACATACATGCGTCCTTTGATTACGTACCTCCAAGTGCACAAAGACTTCTATTAGTACGTACGGGAATACACACAAAACCAGTATCCTTATGGCTGTAATTTTTGTCTTCATAATCTCAATAACTCTTAATAAGGCCTTATATACTAAGCAGCAAAAGAAACGTCAGTTTGGAATTTTCCTTCACAGAAGAGGGTAACTGTAAACTCATTTAATGTTTTGATTGTATATTTTTGACAATATCTCCAACTTTACCTGAGCAAAGACATTCCTTCCCCAACTCAGAATGGAACCCTGGAAATGGTCTCAAAAACGCAACATGAAATCGGATATGGTACGGTGTTCTCCATGTTTATCAGGGGCGTTGGGGTAGCCTAGTGGTTAAAGCGTTCGCTCGTCACGCCCAAGACCCGGGTTCGATTCCCCACGTGGGTACAAAGTGTGAAGCCCATTTTCGTGTCCCCCGCCGTGATATTGCTGGAATATTGCTAAAAGCGGCGTAAAAACAAAATTCACTCACTCACCATGTTTTTATGCAACTGATGCTGCACGTGCTGTTCACAAGGACCAACCCTATAAAATGCACCCCCAAACCTGGTTGAAACATTCACATTACAACGTCAGCAGGATGCCCCTTCTCACGACAGCTCAGAGGAACCAGGCGCTAGGAAGACTTGAATCTGGCCACACTGCACAAGCCGTTGCCAAGCACTTCCGGGTCAACGTTCGGACAATCTACAGGCTGCAGCAGCGTTTCCGGGCCAACAGCACCACAAATTATAGCCCCCGTACTGGCAGACCATGGGTGACCACAAGACGACAAGACCGCCATGTTTTGCGACAGCATGTACAGAATCCCTTCATGCAGGCATCCAAAACAGCACGCCAGACAGTGGGAACACACGGAAGACCAATCAGTACTGATACAGTACGCCGTGGTCTTAACAGCGGGAACCGTAGACCTTACCGTGGACCTATCCTCACCCCTCGTCATCGGCGTGAACGTCTACAGTTTGCCCTACAACACCAAAACTGGCGATACAGGCAATGGAGAACTGTTTTGTTCACAGATGAGAGTCGGTACTGCGTATCAACTGCAGATGGCAGAACAAGAATATGGCGACGACGTGACCAGCGTTACTCAGACCAATGTGTTATGGAAAGAGAGTCATGGGGAGGTGCAAGCATCATGGTATGGAGTGGAATATGCCTGAACCAGAGAGTGGGTCCTGTGGTGTCCCAGAACCTTGGTCCAGTTAGAGGAGGCGGCATCACAGCGGTGCGCTACATCGACCAAGCTCTCAGACCTCACGTCATAC